GAACAGCACGGTGGCCGCGCGGAGGGTCCGCATTAGCCCATTATCTTAATCTGCCAGCGCGTGGGACAAATAACAGGGTAGCCTGGCCGCACACATCCCACCACATCTCTCTGCCTGCCTGCCTGCCTGCCCGACCACACACAGCCCTGGCGTGCCTCGCCGCGATCTACACGCTCGCCCCGCTTATATTACGGCTACCGGAAAGTAATATTTTTTTTCCAACCCAAGAAACATTCTCTCTTCTTTTTTTCCCTCTTTCTTCTCTCCCTTCCAGCGCGCCTGCTCGCTTGGTAGCCCCGGGGTACGCTCGTTATCTAATTGATTACGCGATCGTTGTCGCGATTGAGCACGCGCTGTAGCCCCGAGTGCTGATGGTGGGCTCGGGCGACTTTCGCGGAGAGGGGATGAATTGAGGTGTTTGTTTGAGGAGGCGTGTATAGGTATACGCCGCCGGCAGAAACTTTCGAATCACCTGCCAATTTACGTTAATATCGGATCTGTTGCTGATTTTTTGTTCGTTTGAAATTCACGTCACGGAGACCGATAGCAGGTCTCCTCGACTCTGAACATTTTCAACATTGCTACCTTTTTATGATTAATTTGCAATTTAACGAAGGATTCACCGTTGACACATGCTTAATTTTCTGGAATGCAAGAGTATCTCGACTTAAATTTATCCGACATCCAGGAACCTCTCGTCCCTTCCTCTCGTGACTCGTTCGATCTGTCGAGAGTCACGAGCGCTCTCACCCCCTGTATCCGTGGGGTCTCGGAAACAGAAGAAGGTGGACAGAGGTCATTGCGAGAGGGTGGAGGCGGTGTGAGAGACGGAACGGTGTGTACGTGCGGCGTAATATACGTCGCCCTATGGGCTCCACCCTTCCACCGTCGTATATAATCGGCCGGGTGCCCATTCCGTGCGCGGAATTGTTTACCCATGCTTCGTTCCTGCGATCGGTTCTCGTTACCCCCCTGCGTCTTTGTGCCTTGCTTTATGTGACAGGGGGCTAAGTGGCAGGCGTGCTGATTAGGGGCTCTCCCTGGTGATTGCGTTTTTTACAGGTCGTTTCATCGCCGACACCTGTTTAATATTAATCGCGGTTCTCCAGTCCGCTCTCCTGTTTATCCTTAATTCATTTTTCACGGTTATTTATTAAACGACCGATAATTAGACCGGCGGAACCACCAGCCAGAGTGTACTATGCAAATTTCCAACCCTTCAGCTACTCGAGCGTGCACACTTCAGAGTAACGATATCTACTACGCGCGACAATGTGCACACTTGATCTCTTCGCTATTTGTACGGTGGTTAACGTTGAAATTATATTTCAATATTTATTTCGGCTAATTTAATATCGTAAATATGCTTCCTTTGAAAATTTGTATATATACGGGACTTGGTTGAATAGTTGATAAAGAAAGCAACGAATTTTAACGTTTGTTTTAATAACGTTGAACAATCTGGAGATAAAAGTCACGCAATATTTTCGGGGAAAAGGATCGCGGCAATTCGCGTGGAAAGGGCCGTTCATTTGGTTAATTGGAAACTTGGCGGGAATGTCTTTCGTTTTCATAGAGGGAACAGTCGTATACACGGCCGCGACTAAGTATACTATCACCGGGCGTAACTGGCATGGTTAAAACAATACTCATGATGAATGTACGCTTCACGCAGCCCCTTGTGCGCAATTAATTATTCGCGACTATAGTGATTAATCGTGGTAATTTGAGGGAGCACGGGACTGAAACGGCAGCGCAAACGCCGACGCGCGACGGACAGAGCGGTTACAAGCCGCGGCAACCCTATTTAATATCGCGATACCAACCTAACAACCTTTCTAACTTCGCGAAGAAATCTCCGCTTCCCTTCAACACCTGTTGTCCTCCCTAACGTTTTTTTTTCCTTCTCCTTCCTCCTCCCTCCGCGCGATTATAATCGTCCAACCCCTATCTTCGAATTAGCATTCGGCAACCGCTAACCTCCACGATGCAACCATTATTGTTACAGGTATGAAACACGTGATGGAAGAAAAGCAGGACCACCAGAGAAGAGAAGAGAATGTTTGTCAAAGAACGAAGAAGAAAGAAGACACCGATTTAAGACGGCGACAGAGAGAAAGTTGAGTGCACGCGTGTACGTCAGGTTGGTTGGTCGCGCGTCATTTTCCAAAAGGGCAGCCATCGGTCAGCAGCGTCACCGGGGTTGCGGTTAATCTAGTCCGTTGGCCGCGGTCGTGGTCGTGGTCGCGGCGCTGCTCGTGGTCGGCGTCGTGCTCTCGCGGCCGGTCGTCAGACGAGGGAGGCTGCCTTCCTCTCTCTGTCTCTTCCAACACGAAGAGAGGAGAGGAGAGAAGCGAAGGAGGACCAGGAAGCATATCGGAGGATGAGGAAGATGAGGAGGAGGCGGAGGAGGAGGAGGAAGAGAGGAAGAGAGCAGAGGAGCGGGCAAGCGCAAGCGCCCGTCCGATCGATGCCCGTCTCCCGCTCGTATAAAGCGCTCGTCCTCGGGGGGCGCGCGACAGTTGGCGTTCCGCATTCGGAACATGCGCCGCGTCGCGGGTACACCGTGTCAAACGTTTCACCTATCCAGCGTCTTTTGCTGTATCGTTCCCCCCAGCTCGTGCAAACGTCGGTTCAAGCTCGAGAAGGAGAGCCGTCGTCGTTGGTGATCGATCTACGTCCACGCAATTTTCTTATTCCTCGCTTTTCAAACAGCCGTTCGTGTGTGTTCTAACTGTCCATCTCGGACAATAACATTCCTCCAGGATCGTTCCGACTGCGATGCAACTGTAACACCCTCTCGTTCACCTAGACTCATCTTCCTTCGAGTGATATATACGCGATATACGTAGCATCGAGCGCAGTGATTCGTTTGGAGGATGTACATGAGCAACGGAGTGATACCTTCGAGATAAGTGTCCCCCCGGCGAAGAGAGGAAGCTGGTCCTCGGTGGTAACGGATAGAAGGAAGACGGAGAAACGAGTATCTGAATCAAGATCTAAGCGCGCGCGTGAAGCGATAATACGCGATTCTGTTCACGGTGGGATCCGTAAGAGTTTCGCGTGTTCGTGTTCCCCGAAGATTCGGCGGGTCGAGCACGAATGTTGAAGCTTCGTCTCTGACATCGTGCGTTTCCGGCTTAAGGACGAATTGGCAAGTTCGAGGCTCGGATTTTAGTAGACGGTGGTTCAGTAAGCGTCGAGTATTCGGTTCGTCAAGGTGTTCGACGTGGTGCGTCACGGCTCGACGAAGCTGCGGCTTGATTACTGGCTCGTTTCTCGCGACGTGTCAGCGACATTCGTCCCGGGCGAGAAACAACCGGGCAGGCGTCAGAACGGCGGTCGCTGGACCGTCCGGCGGACGTCTCGACCGCCGTACGGCGAGCCGCTGGAGCCAGGAGGTGGAGGAGGAGGGGCTGTGGAGGTGGTGGAGGAGGAAGGCCCGCGGACGTGCAACAAGTTAAGAGGCCGCCGCCGCCGCTACCGTCGACATCGCTGCCGCCGTCACGGTCTGCGCCACGATGTGACATGGATATCCTAGCCGTAGCCTGCGCCCTCGTCGCCACGGCCCTCTACTGCAACACCCTGCAAGCGGGTTTCGTCTACGATGATCGGTAAGTCACGCTCGTTGCGTCAATTTTCCTCCTTGCCTCGAGATATCACCGAATATTTCAACCTGCGTTCACGAGGATTAAGGACTTTTCGATACTTTATCGTCTCAACTAAGCGAAGATACCTGCGCTATTCCCTGTGCACCATTAACTTCTTGCTTTACGACGATTCATTTTAAGTGCAAGATTTTCAACAAAGGCAGCAGAATCTTCTATTTCGGCGTTTTTTATTTTTCTGAAAAATTGAAAAGTTCACCATTTTTGAGGAGGAATTACGCCAAGGACAAGAATTAGAAATTAAATTCGCACAGAGGAAACAGTGCGGGCGAATATTCGAAAGGCTACAGGCTCTAATAACAGCGAAAGGGTTAATTTGTAACATTAAGAATTATTATATCGTAAAGACTGAATGCTTCGCACAATATTAAGCCAATAATTGGCTCGTGTTTACACTCGTCGCTAGTGCAAAAACGTAGGAAGGCTGAAAGTCGAGAGTCTCTTTCTTCGTCAGAGTAACCTTTACGTTTCTGTCGCGTGTATCGGTTTGTTGTTATTCCCCTCTTCAGCTTCGTAGCAATTACCGGACACTTTACATTTTACGCTGTTTACGCTCGAACGAACTTTAGTCCTCTGGAAATACACACGCTGAATACACGGACGTTCTGCAAGCAGCTAAATAACGTTGCGTACGTAAGAGAATTATTTCTGTAGACTACAGAGACGATTCGGGGGGATTTGAAAAATTCGTCATCGATAGCAGAACGCCTGCTTAATGGCCGCGATAATGGCGGTATTTATCGACACCGAGGCAATAGAGAGTAAATGTAGAGTGCAACGGCAAACAAGCGCAAACACAATGAATAAAGGACAAGTCGCAGCTGGATAAGCTGATTTACGAGCTACTGCGATTTGCGTTCCGATTTCATTTAATCCGATTCCACTACGGTTTAGTTAATCAGATATTACTAATTACGCTAACAGCGACAACCGGGGGACGCAAATCATACGCTGGTGGATTAACGTGCGGACGTTTTTAGATGATTGGGGAAATTGGATGTTTTATGGAGCAAGTGTCGATCATCCTGTCAAATTTTCACCTCCCTTTAAATTCGATTATTTGTTTTGTAAATTTCCCCATCGATAATCCATTTTTCTCCTAATTTTACCGTTTCTTTCTGTCATGTTACCCTTTTGCTAATTCGTAATGATATATTAACGACCTCGTAATACAATAGATATTTACTTTGCACTACTCTACAATTCAACGTGAATACTTGACCAAGTTGCAACATTTCTACCGAATTACACATAATGTCGCCTTTGTACACGAAAATTCGTATCGCCTCGCGTCCAAATCTCGCGCAAACTAATTCTTATTGCTACCGAATCTGTCGGATTATTTCTATAGGGCACCAAATAAAATGTGTCACCTGAGAACGAAAATGTCTTTTTTGCTAAACAAAGACACCAAAGGGACCACCAGATGTGTCTGAAATTCGTCTCTCTTTTCGAGTGTCCAGAAGACAGTTCCTCGGAGCTGTTCGCAGAGAAATGACGTTCCTTTTATCTCTGTTGCGTCGTGGACCTTGATCAAGTCTTATGATCAGGAGTTCTGGCGCAGGTTGATGATTGTTCTCGCTGGTTCGAGGTGTATCGAAACTTGGTTGTTGGGTTAGATGTTGTAGATGTTTAGTTGAATTTAGATTGTTCTTTTCGCGACGACGTGTCTCTTGCACTCTACGGCGTTCTATTCTGCTATGCATTCTGGACGTCGGCGTCGAATTTTCGAGCTACGATGGTGGGGGCAAATACCGAGAATTAAAAATTTCGACGTTTAAAATAATTCCTACAGCTAAAAGTGTCCAACGAAATCCTACCATTTTTTTATCCCGAATACAACGGTGTGCTGTGTTTTTCAATAGCTCATACGGTTCCCGAGTTACGGCTAAGAGACGCGTATAGACACATAACATCGTGCTTGGGGATAGTAGTTTTTCGCGATTTTCACCTAACCTACTGCGCCGATTCTCGTTTTCTCTACGGCGTTCTATTCTGCTATGCATTCTGGACGTCGGCGTCGAATTTTCGAAATACGATGGTGGGGGCAAATAACGAGTATTAAAAATTTCAACGTTTAAAGTAATTCCTATAACTAAAAGTGTCCAAGGAAATCTTACCATTTTTTGGTAACGAATGTTTTATGGTCCCGAGTGTCGCGCTGGTGAGTCCACGGGGGGTATATTGCGGTCTTCCGAACGTCGGCACCTCAAATGTGACTAAGTGGCTTATTACTATAATCCGCCGAACCGAGACTTCGTTGCGTCCTAATCAGGTCGCAACAATCTCAATCGCCCATTTCCAACACAACCAAACGAAAATATCTCGCGAAAGGGTTGAGATCGAGCAGAAAGAAGGGAGAAATGCTTAGACTACGAAGCATCCCGCTATATCTCGTAGAATTAGTCGCGAGTCCGCGGGCAGTAGATAGGATTCGACACGCAGAACGCGACGAGGGCGCACGCTGGCGTATAATCCAAAGTTACTCTTGCGATAAGCGTCCTTAATCCGTAGCTCTCGAATTCTATGATACCGAATCCCTTAATTGAGTATCCCGTAATCTCCGGAACATCGTAGTTGCGGGTCGATCAGCTGCGAGGCCGGTGTGCTCACCGAACCGGCGCCCGATTACGTACTTCTGCCGTCATCGATGGGAATCTGTTGCGTCGTTATCGCGCGCGCCTCCGTGAAAGTTGCGCATGGGGCGGCGAGGCAACGCTCCACCGAACGATAACTTCCCTCTCCGGCCATTGACAGCGCGCCCCAACGATAACGCGCCGATTTATTTGCCTGCATTTTCGACGATAAGCTCTTCGAGCGTAAGAACCGTTGCGGCTATTCTTTGTTGCACCGCAGCAATCGCTACACAACTAGGGGGTTGTTTTGCTTGAATTCTGACGTGGGTAATGCGAAGTGATACGATATTGGTGTATTTATTCGATTCAAGCGTACGAAACCTACTATCGGAGATGAACTTTAGCGGTAACACGTGTCCGCGAAGGTCCGAGAGATTTATTTGGAAAATAAATTGCGGGACGCAAACTAGTTTCTCTAGTGGTTTTAAAGAGTCTCCTTATCCGTTCAAGTTTCTTGATTACCGGCTAAAATATTTACGTACCTGAAAGTGCATTATTTTACCCTTGGAATTGAACCAGTCTAGGATGCTGCTGCATTATTTATCCAACTTAGCAGACACCTCGTAATACGTAGGCACTGTATCGTGTATTTAATAAATTGTGAATGAGATAAGAGTGCTGTTTGAATGCTCTTTTGATTCCAAGGGGGATAAAACTGTTAATTCCTCGAGGCAACTAAAATCGTTTATAAACAGTCCTTTTTTTCTCTCTTGCTTTATACAAGCGAACGCCTCGCGACACGGAACGAAAAATGGCTTTTCGAGAATTAACAGATATAATTACGCAGCGGTAAAAGAATAAATAGCCGACGCTCAGGTACGTAGTCGGGAAAAAATTCACATGGTTCGTTATACCGTGAGGTATTACTATCTTGGTTTACTTTCGGAACTCGACCAGTTTACTCAGCCACTATATTATTTACCCAACTTAGCAGACACCCCGTAGTTCTTGCCAGCCGGAAGATCCACTTTGATCCACACCATAAATAGTTAGACCCTGTGTAATGGAATAACGCTGTGACCGGGTAATCGTATGAATCAGTTTATTCCGGGGGTCGGGTTAGAAATCAACCGTGCAGCCTGTTCTAATGGAATTGCGTGTACCGGTTGGTCCGACGATCAAACGTTTAATCGTCGAATAAATTTCGACACGACCAGCCTACGCGAAACGACACGTTAGGCAAACGATGTATCTACACCACCTCTCTCTCTCTCTCTCTCTCTCTCTCTCTCTCTCTCTCTCTCTCTCTCTCTCTCTTTTCTTCCCTCTTTTTTCTTTTCACCGTGAGAGACAGAGAGAGCTGTCGTTGCACAGCGACTCTCCCCACGGAACCTTAAAACCTCAGGTAATAACGAAAAACGTGGCGCGAGCATTAGGCCGTGATAATTTTTCATCCATATCCGGCCCATTAGCGGCCACCTCGTTCGATGCAACCGCCAAGGTTAAAGCAACCAATGCGCCCGTGGCGACCATAATCAAGTCGAGTCCAGTTATTAACGAGAGTCCAGCCGAGTTTCCTGCTCCTTTTTGCTTTCCCCCTCGTTTTCGCTCGCCGTCTCTCTCTCTCTCGATCTGACTACGCTTTTCCTGCTCTCTTCCTCCTCTCTGCGGCATTAGCCATTGCGACAATCGCAAAAAGTTCGCAACACCGACGCTTGCACGCGGCCAAAAAATTCTCCTCCCTCCTACGCTCTTTTCACCGTTCGCGTCTCTCTGCGAAAGAGCGAGAGAGGGAGAGACGGAGAGAGTGGGATTGGTTTCGCCCGGCCAAATCCAGCGCCATTTCTGCGCCCCGAGATCGTAGAATAGGAGTATCGCGAGGTAGGAACGGGGTAAAAAATGAAGAAAAGTTTGTATGATAAATAGGAGATACGAGATCCGAAGATCCTGTCTGGTTTAGCTGACGCGTAGGTTTCCCCCTCCCGTCGCCAGTTTACCCCGTCTCGAGAGTTTATTCCGGCCGCGTTGCGCCATGCTAAAACTCATGGGATAATAAAAGCACCGTATTTTACCGCGTCGCGCCGACCACAATACCTTGGCAAAGAATACGCCCGGCTATATTTATTTGCCTACAGCTTTTTTTCTTCTCCGGCCACCCGGTGTCGCGAACGAACGTTAGGGGATGGCGGTGGCTGGTGGTGGTCGCAGAGAGCAATGCTAAACCAGGAGGAGAAGCGTTAGAATGCTGGGCAAAAGAAAGAACGAGAAGGCGTAGGAGAAACTTTTTAGTTTACGTTGTTTCCTTGAAAAATAGGAGAGAGAAACGTGTTGTTTATCGAGAAACTGTACCGAGTTAAGTTCGGCGATAAT